AGAGAGGGTACTCACCGCGGGTCCAAACGGGGGACCTCGCCGTCCCTGGGGGGCTGCGACCTGTGAAACTGTCGCCACTTTCGAAGGGCTGCTGGGGAGGCCAGCAGAGAGGGTACTCACCGCGGGTCCAAACAGGACCTCGCCATCCCTGGGGGGCTGCGACCTGTGAAACTGTCGCCACTTTCGAGGGCTGCTGAGGGGCACAGCACAGTGGGTACCCACCGCAGACTCAAATTAGACCTCGCCATCCCTGGGGGGCTGCGATCTGTGAAACTGTCGCCACTTTCGAGGGCTGCTGGGGGGCCCAGCACAGTCTGCACCCGCGGCGGATTCAAATTAGACCTCGCCATCCCTGGGGGTCTGCGATCTGTGAAACTGTCGCCACTTTCGAGGGCTGCTGGTGGAGTCCGGCAGAGAAAGGCACTCCACCACGGATCCAAACATGACCTCGCCATCCCTGGGGGGCTGCGATGTGTGAAACTGTCGCCACTTTCGAGGGCTGCTGGGGGGGCCAGCAGAGAGGGTACTCACCGCCGATCCAAACAGGACCTCGCCATCCCAGGGGAGCTGCGACCTGTGAAACTGTCGACACTTTCGATAGGCTGCTGGAGAGGCCAGCAGAGAGGGTACTCACCGCGGATCCAAGCAGGACCTCGCCATCCCTGGGGGGCTGCGATCTGTGAAGCTATCGCCACTTTCGGGGATTGCTGGGGGGCCAGCAGAGAGGGCACTCACCGCTGATCCAAACAGGATCTCGCCATCCCTGGGGCCCCAGGCGGCGAATTCTGTGACCTGTCGCCACTTCGAGGGATGCTGGCATGCTGGGGAGGCCTAGCGGCGCCTTGTAGAGAGGGACATTCACCGCGGATGCAAGATTAGACCTGCCATCCCTGGGGGGCTGCGATCTGTGAAACTGTCGCCGCTTTCGAGGGCTGCTGGTGGGTCCTGCGGAGTGAGGCGCCGCGCGGACCTGAGCGGGGCCTCGCCGTCCTTGGGGGGCTGCGATCTGCGAAACTGTCGCCACTATCGAGGGCTGTTGGTGGGTCCTGCGGAGTGAGGCACCGCGCGGACCTGGGCGGGACCTCGCCGCCCCTGGGGGGCTGCGATCTGCGAAATTATCGCCACTTTCGAGGGCTGCTGGTGGGTCCTGCGGGGTGAGGCTCCGCGCGGGTCTGAGTGGGACCTCGCCGCCCCTGGGGGGCTGCGATCTGCGAAACTGTCGCCACTTTCGAGGGCTGCTGGTGGGCCCTGCGGAGTGAGGCACCACGCGGGCCTGAACGTGACCTCGCCGTCCCTGGGGGGCTGCGATCTGCGAAGCTGTCGCCACTTTCGAAGGCTGCTGGTGAGTCCTGCGGGGTGAGGCACCGCGCGGACGTGAGCGGGACCTCGCCGCCCTTGGGGGGCTACGATCTGCGAAACGGTCGCCACTTTCGAGGGCTGCTGGTGGGTCCTGCGGAGTAAGGCATCACGCGGACCTGAGCGGAACCTCGCCGTCCCTGGGGGGGCTGCGATCTGTGAAACTGTCGCCAATTTCGAAGGCTGCTGGTGGGTCCAGCGGAGCGAGGCACCAGGCAGATCTGAGCGGGACATGGCAATCCATGGGGGGCTGCGAGCCTCACGGATGCCGCTCGCAGAAGTATATGCGCCCATGTCACGTCACCACTTCCGTATAGCGACTCCCGAGCTACTCATGCCCCGCATTGCGCAGGGGTTGGGTACGTAGCCAGGGTAATTTCTACCTCGACTACTACCGCAACGATTACGACCATCAGTGTCACGATCACAACAGCAGCACCTACTACTGATATTATGGCTACTGCCGCTACTACTACTACTACTACTACTACTACTACTACTACTACTACTACTACTACTACTACTACTACTACTACTACTACTACTACGACGACGACGACGACGACGACGACGACGACGACGACGACGACGACGACGACGACGACGACGACTACTTTTACTACTATA